GGGGGGGGGCGAGTGTCAAAAGGCTAGGTATCTGGAAAATATGTTATAATGGATCTTGGGCAGGAGCCGTGAAAAACAGATTCTTCGTACTAATTGGGCTGATGTGGATACGATGACTCTACAAAGGAAAAGAAAAAAACGTTGTCAAAGGCCCAAAAAGATAGGCGTTGGGAGGAAAAAGCTGCCAAAAAAGCAGCTCTGGATAGATTGCGAGAAGAGGTTGGAAAACCCCCCCAGGCACTGCCACTTCTGTATGGCTCAATGGCGAAAAAATGCCCATTTGGAGAGCGCGCCACTAGATGGATTTTCCTCCGTTGCCAAGCCCAGCAAATAGGCACAATTATATGGGCATAACATTTATGTGAATGGAGATGTTGTAAATGAGCCAACCGAGCTGCCAAGTATAGCGGCCACTTTCTAATCTGATTTATTTCCTAAAAAGCCTACTAATCCCAGAGCAGGTTGTTTTTTATTTGAAACACCCCTGAAAAAATCTCAGTGAGTCAAAGAGCAGCCCTCTTGGGCATGGCTACTTGCAAGGCGGGTATGGTTAAGTTGCCTGGGCCTGATAACTTGCCAATTGCATCGTATAAAAATATTAAAAAATCTTCTCCCAAATCTTCTAACATCTTGTGTGATGCCCCCAAACAATTGTTGAATTGCATCATAGATTGCCAGCATCCAGCTGAAGATTTCTCTGTTGGAGTATTGTCATTATTATACAAGGACAAAGGCTTGCTTACTGACCTCAAAGATTATTGTCCACTGACTGTAACAAATGCAGAATATAAGATCTTTACCAGTATTCCTCAAAGCGCCTTACGCCCGCTTTGGACAGTGTGAGTGGAAGCCATCAAAATGCTGTTTTACCTTATAGGCATATCAATGCTAATATTTGACTTATGCAATCTATAATTGATATGTACGATACTAAGACGGATTCTGGTGTGTACTTTCTATTCATTGACCAAGGAAAAGCCTATGACCAAATAGACCAAGATTTTCCATGGGAATCAATGCTAAACGTTGCAGTTCCAGCGCCACTGTGCTCTGCTAGTAGAAACATCTATTTGCATATTAAATGGGGAGTAATGGTACATGTTTTTCAAGTGAGGAATTTGAGGTAAAGTGCAGGGTGGGCCAAGGTGATCCTTTGAGTTTTATACTGTACATGTTTTTCCTTGAACCTCTGCTTTCAGAATTCCAGGCCTGTACCATCTCTGGCGTTCAAGCCGGCCCCAATCTTGTTTTGTTTCAGTGATCCAATGGGGGGCAAATTTAAACTGGAATAAGTCGCATCTCCTGAAAATTGGGAACCTGCCTCCGGTTGAGCTCTCGAAGGTATCCTGTATTACTGCTGAAAATGCTTATCTTCACCTTGGGAATCGTATTGGCCTCCCAGGGACGATTGATGACCAAATTGCGTATTTATGAACTGATATGGTATGAAAGCAATTTCCTTAGGGTGACAAAAAGCTTACCTGTCTCTGGAAAGGACAAATGTTGGTGGCCAACAGTTTAATGATGTTTTTGCCCCGTTATGCATTTCTTTTTCTAGCTCTACCGCTGCAAACTCTCAATATTCTTAATCAAATTTATTTAGATATTATCTGGGATAATAAGACATTTTTACAAAATTCACGATAACCACGCAAACCTTCCTGCTAATAAAGGAGGAATTGGTTGTGTTGATTTGAAGAGTATCACCAATGCGCTTAGCATGGATCTGAAAAATTAATAGAGCTGAAAAGATCGCCTTCCATGGGTCCGAGTTCACCGAGGACTTTTGCCCATGGTTCAACGTCGCACTGTCAGCTTAAATGCAATTATAGTCACTCGACCCTGGCTGCAATTCTTGTCTTTACGAGCCCTCAGATTGGTCATGCTACCTTGCTGTGCTGCCCATGCCTGGGTTTGTTGAATTCACATTTTAGATAATCCATTGCAAAGAATTAAGCTGAAAGTGCCCTTCACAGAATTTGATGTATCAAATGTCAACTTCTGGTACCGCCAGCCATTCGAGTTGTGAGAGGTGTGCTTACCCAATGATTTTCTTTGGGATTGCTTCGATTGTTTGCTCAGCATGGCATTAAAACAATTAGCCAAAATTCTGAAAAGGGGGAACCACAAATTCCCGAACAAATTGCAGCTGAGGCACCAGTAGGGGCTCTTGCTGAATTAAGACGCCTGGTGGAGCGTCCGGCACGGACGCGATTTTCAATGGTCTGAGCGCAGGCCTAGTGATCGGCACGTGACTCACGCGCACGCGCGCACGAGCCTGCGCAGCGAAGACTCAACTTGTGCGCGCTCGTCTCCAACTCTCCTTCTCTCTCTCCACCATCTCTTCTTCGCGCTCGACCGCTCGCAGCGCTCTTCAATCAACACCCACCCTCCCATCCCCAGACACGGCCCCGGCGGCCGTCTAGCATTCTCACGTTTTAGCTCCGCATTTCACGACCCCCTTTTCTCATGTTTTAGGTTTCACGCGCATTCCGCCTCGCTCTCACGCGACGCTCGACCACCCGCGGCCCTTACGGCCACGGCTGGGAGCTCGCAAGCGACTCTCCCACGAGTTAGGCAATCATACTCTTCTTCTACATCATCCTGCATCCCTGGTGACGACCACGAGTGCGTTAGCCAGAACATTGAATTTTGACGTTCTGCCTGAAGAAAGAAAAACCCTCCTCCAGAGTGATGAGCACCCGAATGGATTTGTAGCCCTTAGTCGGACGAGTTAATTATTACAACTACTTTCTCCGACGAGCCTCGGACCTTTTTGCTATATGATATGGATTATACTACCCCATATAAGCATCTTGTACATAAGAAAACTGCTGGGGCTAATTTCAAAGGTAGAGTTATGCTCATTGAAAATAAATATCAATCCATTACAACGAAGTCGATTAATGGAGAGATGGTTTGGCGGGCTGTGAGGACTGAGTTCTTTACCCAAAAGCTGGTTATCTCCTGTGGCGCTTTCTTCATGGAAACGTCATGGTAGGGGGTGATTTGCATTGGCTGGACGACAAACATTAAGGAGTCCTAATTGTCATGTAATCTCCTCTACCGATCATCTATGGGTTAATTGTCCTAGTGCTCAGGGGAATTTATTTCGACAAATTTGGACTAAGGCTTGAGAATTCACAAACCCTTCGACCCCATCCCTAATAAATACTGTACTGTACTGTACTGTACTGTACACGACTAATTTAATCACCTGGTTTGCTGTTGCCCCAGTAAAAGAAAGAAATGAAGCCAGACGGTGGCGAATTTTCGGTGGCACTGCCTTTTCGGCCATTTGAGTATCGTATTTATAATAAAGCTTTGATAAAAACATTTTGAACTATGCCTGAATAGGGTGAAGCCAGAGGAAACTCTGGTGGAGGCTCGTAGCGGTTCTGACGTGCAAATCGATCGTCAAATTTGGGTATAGGGGCGAAAGACTAATCGAACCATCTAGTAGCTGGTTCCTGCCGAAGTTTCCCTCAGGATAGCAGAAACTCACATCAGTTTTATGAGGTAAAGCGAATGATTAGAGGACTTGGGGAAGTAACTTCCTTAACCTATTCTCAAACTTTAAATGTGTAAGAAGCCCTTGTTACTTAAGTGAACGAGGGCATGCGAATGAGAGTTTCTAGTGGGCCATTTTTGGTAAGCAGAACTGGCGATGCGGGATGAACCGAACGTTGGGTTAAGGTGCCAAAGTATACGCTCATCAGATACCAGAAAAGGTGTTATTTAGTCTAGACAGTGGGACGGTGGCCATGGAAGTCGGAAACCGCTAAGGAGTGTGTAACAACTCACCCACCGAATTAAGTAGCCCTGAAAATGGATGGCGCTCAAGCGTATCACCGATACCCAACCGTCAGTGTTTAGCGAAGCGCTGACGAGTAGGCAGGCGTGGGGG